ACAACCCCAACCCAAACCAACCCCAACCCCAACCCCAACCCCTCCAAACCCAAACCCAAACCCAAACCCTAACCCAAACCCAAACCCTACCCCAACCCAAACCTTACCGCCATCACTCCGCGTTAATCGTAGTTTTGGCTTGAAGACGCAACTCGTGCAACCCCAACCCCAACCCCAACCCCAACCCCAACCCCAAAACCCAAACCCAAACCCAACCCCAAACCCCAACCCCTCTCTGGAAAAAAACTCCTGCGCCCAGGCTGAACTACACCCGGACACGGATCCTCCTGTGTCACAGAGGTAAGTCTTGGCTTTAAACTGGGTTTGAGTTTAAAACCCTCTCTTTTTTTGCTTGAGTTGGATTCAGAAGTCTACTCATCAGACGTAAGTGAAGTGGTTCGAGTAACTGTACAAGAAGAGATGAAACTTCATCTTCTTCTGCCCTTTCTGGCTAGGAAAGGGGAAAAATTAATTTTTATCCTGGGACTCCCATTGAAATAAAGTTAATATAATTTTTAATTGAATTTTATTATAACTTCTAAATTTTGCTCAAATTATTTAAATGTAAAATATAATAAACATTGGTGAGTTTTATCCATTCTTGATTGATTGGATGAAACAACAGTTATCGTAAGTAACAATAGTTCTGGTGTCTACTGATCTTCTAAATCAAGTTTTTAAGAGTAGGGATTAAATAGAAATGCAATCTACAAAATTAAGATAAAATAGCTCTATAGGGTGATAAACTTCCCAATCGAGAACAGAATACGAAATCTTCTTTGAGAGTTCTAAAGTCAGAAAATACCATTTAAGACAAAAAATTTAAACTAAAAGAACCTAATTTCCTTCAGTATAAATGATGCTACTACAAATTAGATTATTCAATCAGAAAAAACATTTTTCCGCCAAATTGTAACCCCTTTATTTGGTGGTTTAATTAGCTTACATTCCCAAATTGTTAATAAAATATATCCTTTATAAGTGGACAATTAAACACTTAATAGTTCCAAAGAATTTAGCAAGGTCAACAAAATTTAAGATAGAATTAAAATATAGTCATCCAGCTATATAAGACCCTCTTTTTTTGGCATAAGCAACAAGAATTAGAGCAGGTCTCTGTAAACCCTATATAAAAGATCTTGAGTTTGTAGGCTCTAAACAAATGTTCTCAGATGAGAATTCAAAATCTCTGCCTTCTACTTTTAGATGATAATCAAGTACGAATACATAATAATACGGTTCAAAGATTTAAAATAAGAGAAGAAACTTAATGATTTTAACCTTATTTTTTTCATACATTAATAATTGTGATTAATTCTGAAGTGTTCTCAAGCTTATTTGACAGTTTTGCTATATTCTTTCAAGCTTATATAAATTGCTTACACTGTGCAAATTCTAAGTTAAATATTATTTTATACATTGACTTTTTTTAAACGAATCATCCAATGAAGCTTTCTAAATTAATTATTCAAAGCATTCGATTCCTTCTTTAAGTTTTTTCAACTCAATTAATGTAATTGCTTTAATAATTCATTCTTTTCTACCTTTATACTTGATGGCTTCAATATCATTCGGATTTTTGTAAATTGACTGATCTAAATATAAAACTACAACTGTTTAACTCAACCCTTGGGTTACGGTAAACGCTAACGTGTCGTTGTTTTTTAAAACCCTTTTGTACGACCTAAACCGACTAACCTGGGTTTACTTGACT